TTTTGGATTGAATTTTGTTACACAGATGTCGATCAACTATCCCTCACACAGCCTGTTCGATCTCTCCAGTATTGCCCACTGACCAGTTGTCTCAATTGCCTGACGGGTATTGTTGCGCTGAGCTCATGGAGAATGTGTCTTCAAAGATTAAATCTGCCTTTTTTTTTGTTTTTCTGTCTATCCGATTTCACAGAGATCTGGACTCTGGAAAGAAAATAAAAAGCATGCTATGATTAAAGGCTTGAAGCTTGAGACAAAAAAAATGGAGAAATATTTGAAAAACTAAAAAGCCGAACATCTCATGCTTTTTTAGATACATTCTGATTTTCTTCCTTTTTATTTTGATTGGTAAAAAAAATGCTATGATTAAGCAGCCTTGAAGCTTGAAACATACAAAATAGCCTACAATGACAAATATTTGAAAAACCAAAGCCAAATATCTCCCAGGCTAGTTTAGATACCTTCTGCTTTTTTTTCCCTTTCATTTTGATTGGTAAAACAAAAAAAAAAGCGACATTTCTTTTTCTTTTGTGGGGTGGGGGTAAGAGTGACCTCAAATCAGAGATCGCAATGCAAGACTGTCTTAACTAACTTCAATCAGTGAAAATAGCTTACCAGTATTTGAGGATGATTGCCAGGATCCAACGCTAGACTACGAAGAAATTGTCAGTTCAGGAACGATCACCTCTAGTTTCCAAGGGAACATTGAAATTGGTGTTATGTTCTTCATTGGCTCGTCACCTGAATTCATGTGAAACAGACCACATTCATAATTATAGTCCTATAATTTATTTCTCACAATGGAAATAACACCAAAGTATCATTCAATACTTGTGCATTTACTCTGTAAGGGGGGTACAATAGGAGAGGTCTCATATTTCTTCACTCCAGTCCATAGAAACTGGAAAATCCAGAGGCCAGCTTGGGGACGAACGAGAAGAATGGTCGTTCTCCATGAAGGGAAGAAGCTTTCCGGCATGCAAGTTCTTTATTATCCAGCTAGCCGGCTGCATAAAGCAATCAATAATCCTAAGTTGAAGAACATTAAATACTGGAGCAAAAAAGAAAAAAATCAGATCACTGCCATTTTTATGTAGAAGCTAACAAGATGGTTCACACTTGTTCGACACAACGAGAGCTTGATGGATATCTAACAAATACAAGTACAAACCATCATGGGTATCTTTTGTTCCAAGGCACAGTGCTTCAGGTGACGTGAAGCCCGACTCTCATCCTCAGCAACAATATAGCCCATGGAAATCTTTTCAGCATCAAGACTCTGCACCAACCACTGGAGGGTTTTGAATACCTGCCCACCTCCATGCTATGGAGCCAACAGAGACATGTAATGTAAAATCAGAACGCAATCACAAATGAGTATGACATAACTATACTAGCGACACACTTTAGTCTGAAGTTAACATAGAAGTGTTTCCTCACAAATATATTTGTTCAGAGTTCATTAAACAACAAAATGACCAGAATCTGGCAATCAGCTCCACTAGGCAAACCTAAAGTTGGAACTTTGAAGTAAAGTGCAAGATAAAATTTGGCCACAAATGACAGATTGCTGACAATGTTGATATTACGAGATGTCGTGATCTTGATTGCACAATTTCAAAACTAAGAGGGCTCACTCCAATGTAGACAAATGCAATTCGTAGTCGTGATGGTGAAAAGTTATTGAACAATGATTTGATGAGCTATCATCAGTTAAGTGATAATCTTCTGCATAACATGACTGAATGTATATGCCACATGAAAAAAACAAATCCCTTCAACTGAATTATACCAATCATGCAAGATGCTAAGAGATGGAACTACATGGAGCAGCCATCTGGGTTTACTGCTCAGGGAGAGTACTTTAAGAGTGTGTGTCGGTTAAAAAAAGCTCTGCACAGTTTAAAGCAGTCACCGAGAGCATGCTTTGGTAAGTTTTCAGATACAGGTGACGAAATAAGTGATATTGCAGTATTGTCAATCAAGCTTTTCCTACCCTTTGGTGGACCACTGGCGATGGTTTAGGTCTTAGCTATCAAACTTCACATACTTGAATGTTATCATAATTCAGAGTTCCCTTATCATTATTCACAGAATTCACAGCAAGAGATGAAACTATTGTATTTACCAGCAAACCCTTCTCATGAGACCAAATAGATAGGAAAAGAAGAAAAATTGTGGCAAAAGCTTTCAGAACTACATAAACAATGGAAAGAAAGAGATTAACACATGAAAAGTAATGCTATAGCAGTCAAGCTAAAAGAAAAGGGGGACATAGAACTCTCAGAAAAAGATCTACAGCCTCCATGTCAAGGTTCGGACACGTCTTACTGGAGAAACCGATGGAGGGTGTTCAGTTGGAGAGAAGGAAGGAGCAGAGAGAGGAGATGGCAGAACTCATGAATACAATCTTCTCTCTTCTGTTAGCTTGTGAATCCCTCATGGATTGCATGCAAATGGGGATGTTGATGAATATTTATAGTCTGGGTCATATGTGCAACCTAGGCACATGTGACAGATGGCCAACAAGGTGGGGACAAGTATTCTCTTTGTCACCTTTTATAAGAGGCACGCGACCTACACTTCTATCCCTTTCTCTCCTCGGATGCGAATGACTAGCTACTGGTGCACACGGGAGACACAAGGGAGGTGGAACACTTACAACACCAAGGCTACCATGTGACTTGCACAGAACCAAAAACCAACAAGCACCCCTCTCTAGGACCAACCAACCAATGACCTACTAGGAGCTCCCAGTGACATGTCAAGGCAAGCCATCATCCACATCTATGTGGCAAGTTAGACTACCCTGCTACATAGTCAATCATTAAGAACTGCTTTGACATGTTTGGTGTGTCTTTAGTCTATCCAATACCACTTGGAATTATAGAAGAATACTGTGAGAGTATCCCCAGGGTTGAGGAGAACTAAATACAAAAAATAAACAGATGTGAAGCAGTAAAAACATGCACATCTGAGCATCTCTCTAGTTAATTGGGAGAGCAAGTCCTCTACCCTGACAACTCTTGCCATTTTGGTGCAGAAATTGTGTGTCCCATGAAGCATGATGCCAACACTGTCAAAGACGTACTGATGGTTGTCGCGACGCAGTGGCTTTCCTATTCTTGTACACTTCCCACCAACATGATTTGGAAGAATCATATATCTGCCACATAAAACCAGTTCAAACATGAACCGAGAGAGTGACAAATTGAAGTATAAAAATCATAGAAAAGTCAACAGGTGCAGAAAAAATTTCATTTCTATATACCAAACCTCAAACTCCAGACCTGTGGCTCCCAATCCTCATGGTAAGCCAACAAGCCATAAGAGGGCAGTCAGAGGAAGAGAAACTTTTGGTTTGATGAAAAAAAACACTGAAAAGAGTATTTTGCAATTGAAGTAGACTAGATTCCTCATGAATTTTTTTTATTTTTTGGAAAGTACGTCCTCATGAATTCAATGTAGAAGGAGCATGGTTATCGCAGAGAAAAAAATATATAGCAACCAAATACAATCCAAGAACTAAATTAAAAAAAATGAAAACTTGATACTCAATTTCCTGAAGAATCTCTTCGACTATTAATCCAACAATTAAAATGAACTCCAAATACTCCAATAATTTAAAATCATGGATGTTTTTTTTATAGGAAAACAGTAATATTTTATTGATTTGAAAACAATAATGCTATTTGGACTTAATTTGCTAACCAAATCTATCACAACCATTGAATTGATTATGGGTCCCAACAAATACTGGGGCTCCAATCAATCCAATGATTATGAATGATTAAGTCAACAAATTAGGTCAATAAATTATGTCCAAGTAATATTGCTCATTTGAAAATGATAAATCAGAGTTAAAAGGGTGGACAAGATGTCCAACCATGAAATGGAAAAAGTAAACTCAAAACAAAAATTAATGGGGCACGTGATGCCTTCCAATCTGACAATATACAAAAGAGTGGGACACTCAAAGTCCTTAGAAACGAAAGCAACCAAAGATGACTAGATTCGATCCCATAAGCCCTCCTTCCATTCGGATCCCATAAATTCCTTACAAGCATATGGATATTAGAATTTAGAAGCTGAAACATATAATACACAAAATAAACCAACGGGCCTTTGGTCCAATGATACTCCTTAGCTTGTGAAGGTTTTGCCTTCTTGAGGTCAAGTTTTCAAATCCCCTCCCCCTCTCAAATATATATATATATATATACACACACACACACACAAAATAAGAAGCAACAACTTGCTAATTCGCACTTCATGCAACAATGTGGTGCTAGATTTGACGGTTAGGCAGCAAACTATGAAATGAACCCCAAAGGCAAGAAATAGGGGGTACAAAAACACTTCTAATGGGGGTTAATTAAACATTTAGCATTAAACTCCACCAATTCTCAATGGAATTTAACAGGCAAGTGGAGATGGTTGCGATGATACTAATATTTGTGTCTAGCCACAGTTAGTCATCAACATAGGCGACAAACACCAAATACTATCCAGGTCATTGAGTACATTTTGTCATTACAAGTTCAGCTTCCCCATGGGGTCCTCAAGAAGCAAAGTTCGTATTTACCTTAAATATGGCAAGGTGCTAATGGGCATCCCTGGTTGTCATCGCTTTTGGAAGTTTTGTCCTTATCATAGATTTTTTGTTTTCTCTATTCTGAATGCATCTCTCCTAGAATTCCATCACTTGAGAATTCTTATGTTCTAGGTAATAAAAATACGTCCTCCTTATGAAACAGTTTCTTTATTTAATAAGCTTCAAACTTGATTATATTATCCTCAAATCAATGCAAATTTAAACCGGATTTCTGGCATCAAATAATTTTCTTAATTTATAACAGTTTAATAATGAACCAGCAGAGAAAATGTTACTTTGATGACTCTTGAGTTGATGCAAGCTAAGAGAATAGAAGCAAATTCTATAGTTTACAACAAGAAAAAGAAGAATTAAGCAATTCTAGGAAGGAAAGGATAGATGCAAGCTAAGCATATTCTAGGACATACTTTTCAGGTGCTAAGAGATAACCCACTGCAATTGAATCAGTAAGCCAATTGACTTTGAGGATGCAGGCATTCACGGCACAGCCATACAAGAACTTGGTCGTTTGTACCTGAAAAAGTATGACAACAACCACCAGAATTAGAGAGATCTAGCCCCCACCAGAAAAAAAAATTCAAAAACCATAAAAACAAATAAACCAATAAATAGATATTACACGTCATAAATGGCAATCAAAAAAGTTGAAGACATAAAGCTTACCATTTTCAAACTGACTAGAATTCTATGTTTGTGTACTTAATTTCCATGAACTTGTCAATACGAACTTACTTTAGAAATTTTACTTTTAGACTCCCCAATATTTAAGCACGGCTTAAGTTTTAGGTGGTTTCAATTTTACAAAACATTAGACATCAGCAAATTCATTCAATTCACAAAAAAAGCAAAATTTAAGGGAAAACTAAACATAAAGTCTTTCAGAAACTCAGGTTCACTCAACAAGCCTCAATCTCAACCAGTTGGCATCAGCTGAATGAATCTGTCTCCATCAACCGCTCTTGCTAGATGCATACTCTTAATTGATTCAAGAATATTTATGCCCTTTTCTGACAGTCCCAACTAGAGACAAACAGATGGACCAATGCGTCAATGTTACACCATTTGAGAAAGGAGTGGTACAAGCTGATATGAGAGGAATGCTTAACAAGAAGTGGTCAAAAAGTTCTTAGTTTGGATAAATTCAGCATACTTTCTGTTTTAGGCACGTACAGTCATAGTTCAAGCAAAATTCACATAGTATTCTATCAGCTCATTGGTTAGTTTTACCTCAGCCTGAAGAGAGTATCCACATTCTCACTTAAGTATTCATATGCCAAGCACATGATGTTAGTAGAATGAATATCTTTTTTGCAACATTCTGACTTAAGTATTCACAAGCCAAGTGCATGAACTAAGTAGATTACAAATCTTTCTTACAACCAGGCACAGTAAAATTAATTAGAACCCTTTTCTGTACTTGATGCCAAGGCATCATAGATTTGCGCAATTAGAGCTGTAGTAAAGGGGCTGTACTTTCCCCGCTATGTAAAATCATGGTGTAAGACTAATTGTAAAGGCCTCATTAACAACATTATGTGATAAGCATCGATCCCCAAATTTTGGGGTTTGTCTCAATTTGGTCTCTAATCCATTTTTCCTACTTGAGTCCATGAACTATTCACCTTATGCCCATGTGATCCACTCGATAATGTCTGCTACAATTTAGCAAGGTCATGATGCTCAGTTCCGAAAGCTTCGAGGAAGGAGTTTCAAGCTTCAAAGTCAAATCAAGAGATCTCCAATGCGCTTAGGACAAACGTAATGACCTAGAGACCTAGAATCTTTGGTTTAATTTTAGACTTGGGGTAATTAGGTTAAAATGGATTTAGGATAATCCGTGAATGACTCTTAGACTTTTCATGAAAAATATTTTCTATACCTTATATGTATTTTGAAAACTTAGAATAAGTCATGTATCGGATTCTCTTTGAACAATACTCCTTAGTGCTCAACAGTTCTAGTTTTACTTGATTTTTGAATTAAAAATCACTAGGGACCACCATCACTCACTTGCCTTTAGCTAGAGTGGTCTCTGAACACTTAGGAAAATTAAACTGGAGAGCCAATGAAGGCCACTAGCTGGTGGCTCGAGCGATCTGGGAGGCGGCTCTAGTTGGGAGAAGGTTCGAGCTGTCTGCTCCCCTCGAGGTCTAGAATGACTCATTTTTACTCTAGAAATCACTGCCCTTTGACCGTTCTCTCACAGTTCGAGTGATTGGCACTAATTTGAGTTTTCTTGGGCTCTAATTAAACTCTATTTTCGAGACATATACATAAGTGGCTATAGTTTTCACCTAGGGTAAGTCTCTAAGAGCTAGAAAAAACCAAAAACCTTTCTAGAGAGCTTTAACCTTAGATCCCTAAGTCTCAAAGGTCAAACCATCTTGATCCTTCCTATTCAATTTCACACATTAGAGAAAAAGATCTAGCTTGGTGATCAACAAAACCCACATTGGAGAATGTGCATAGCGAGAGTCTTGGGTGAGAACTGAGAAGCCTTAAAGATTGCTCGAGAGGCCTAGACGATTCATTTCAGTGAGCTCGTCCAAGTGAAGTTACTCATAACTTCGGTGGGACTCCGGAGGAGTGATTTACAACATAAAGGAACATCTAACCATGGGCTAGTAAATTGACTTTGAATTTAGTGAAGGCTCTAGGTGAACCAGGTGCAGTATCACGGTTTTTTCTGAGAAGGGTTACCGCGATAACAAATTGCTTATGTTGTGGATAACTTTTATTGTTACTCTTCATAACACAACATCATACATGCACACAATGTGTTCGATGGAATAATTGTTTAATTTCTGTCTTACAAATTCATCGATTTGGTTGAAGATTGATAGAATTGACTTTGTTGAAGGGATTGATTGCTCAATTGGAATGTTTGGCTTGTTAATTGCATATACACATTATCTATTCATTCATGAGGTTGTTCTTGTGGGTAAAAAGGGATTCAAATGGCTAATTGATTAATTGGTAATTGTGGTCGATTAGGTTTTAAATTGGTGATTATCTGAGTAATAATTTTAATAAACCTATTCATCCCCCTTCCCCCACCCCCCAATCTAGGTTGTGTCTAGTAATTCCACGTGTATAATCATGTGGGTAAGATCCACTTCAAATCTCGCCCTCTCCTAGGCTTGTGAAAATAGTTTACTCCATCTCTTAATCCTTTCTTCCACAACTCCATTATCATTAACCTAAAGACCATCCACCACCAGCTTCAACCCAGCAGCCTCCCCACCCCTAACATCTGCCACCAAACATTGTTGTCAACATTTTCTACCTTTCTCTTCCCTCTTCCCTCTTCTCTCTCTCATTCTGTCAACAAAGAAAAAAAATGAAACTCTGCTTCACTGTACAAAGGTCCCCGGTGGCCACCACAACATCAACGCTGCTTCACTTAAAAACCTTTGGCTACCTCTCTTTCTCTCTCCCAAAATAAAAAAAGAAAAAGAACTATCTACTTCACAATGCAAGCTCCATCGCTACACCAGCGATGCTTCACTAAACTAAAGAAACTCTAGCTACCTCTCTAACACCTTCATGTATATCTTATTCAGTCCATCTCCATCCAGTAGAAATAAGGATGCTTAGCCATGAAATTTATCTTCAAATTTCACATATCATATGTATGCATAAAAAGAATGGAAGATCACACAAAACAAAAAAAGGTCAATGAGAACAAACATTTCATATAACACATTTTAGGCCATAAAAAGTGGATAAGTTGGCGCAGACACATGTTCTAAACTTTTCCCATTCATAACCATGGAGAAACATAAAATAATAGAAGGTATCATTCAAGCTAATTATTCTTCAGAGCCTACCACATTAAATCCTAGTTTAGGAATGAAAAGTCAAAAAGGCCAAAAAGAAGTACTATAGTTCTCATGTAACTAACCTTCTTTAAACATAGAATAACAGGAAGCGGCTGGCAATCAAATTTTGAGCTTCTCTTTGCCCTTGAATTTGGAGAAGGGATATCGGTAAGAAGAATGCCACCATATTTTTTAATTAGACGCTCAATTTCCTTTTCCTTTAGACTAGAAAATCCTGTAAGTAAGAATTCTATATTTTGGAATATCATTCTCTTTCCATCCTTGTCACGGTAATTTCCTCCACGCCTTTTCACTTCGCAAGGCCTAGACTCAAAGTGCAGGTTGGGACATCTTAATCTCTTAGGAACTCTGTTAGAAGAACCTACATCAATTCAAACAATTTAAGGTATTGAATACAATTTTCAGAATGGTTTAGAATTAAAGGTTAAATGCAGTTCTATAACTTAATTCTCACAATTTCTGTACGCAGATTGTAGCTTGTGGAGTTTCTTCTGTTGTGGAATATGAATTTCAGCTTCTGAGAAATGAACACGCTTTCTTGCTGGAACTCGAATATCCTGGAGATTTTTGCATTTAGACTCTGCCTTTTGGAGGTTCTTTCTCTGAAGAAGCTCTACTTCACCTTCTGGTTCTATAGCTGCTTCTGCATTTCCTTCATCAACACTATGGGCAAAACAAGCTTGGAACCTGCAGCGTGTCCCACGGTTTAGAACAACTGGTGAGTTCCTTTCTTTCTGCCTATTAGCTGGAAATTTGGTCTCATCTGCGGCAATCTCATCAAAGTTTCTCATCTCCTTTATCAAATCTGCGACTGGATACTGCATTACAGAGGAAACCTCTCACTGCACTTGAATGGGAATGACTAACCAGTAACCACAATGAATACTTCCTCTTTCGAAGAAAGTTTGGTAGCTAGGCAATACCATGCTATAAGTTTTAAGTGAGGCAAACTTCCTGCGGACAACACCACTGGTCACTGGAACCGCCAACACTTCCTCATCCACCAACTCAAGATTTAGAGCTGAGGCCATGTGTGAATTGTCCATACCATATTCTTGTGCAGTGCTGAAACACTTTCCAGAGTCAACCTTAACATTTGGTTTTGAAGCTGGAGCTGAACAGGTATTTTGCAAAGAAATACTACATGGAACAACAGAACAAAGAGGGTCAAAGGATAAACTAGAAGATCTTGCAACATCCTGAGAAGGCAATATCCCCTCATTTGCTTTGTTGCATAAACCTTCAAAAGGTATGCTTTCTTGAGAAGCAATGTTGGACCCTTTATCTTGTTTCTGCACGACAGAGTTTTCATCTGGGACAAGATCAGCAGATTCTGAGAAAAAGCTAGTCTCGCTAACAAAAACAGCAGGGATGCTTTGAGCATTGTTAGATTCCACTGGAGCAGAATCAGCTACTTCCTTCTGGGAAGCAAAGGCAAGAACGAGGGGAAAAAAGTATGTCAAATCAAAGTACTGAAAAACTGTAGAATCAATAGGCTCAGATACATAACAATAATGAAGTAGTAGTGAAATAAGAAAAAGAAATAAAGGATGGGACTTGGCGCAACAGTAAGGTTGTTCCATTATGAAATGAGGGTTTAAATTGCAGAAACAGCTTCTCCACATGCAAGGGTAAGGCTACATAAATATGACACTCCCTAAGCACCGTAATGGTGGCAGCCTCGTCCACTGGACCGCCCTTTTTTAGTGAAATAGATAACAAATGTTGCAAATGCTGCGTTGTTGTGGTTCACAACATTGCCATGAATCATGATGACAAAAGCAAGGGACAAGGTTAAGTGACTGAAAAGTATTATACAGGAATTGGCTAATGTTCAACAAGGCTTATAAATATGTGTTGCGGCATAGATCATGTAACATTGTTACCATGCTGATTTATTAAGCCCGTTAAAGAGCATACAAAAAATGGATATACACTTCAGAAAAAAAAACAGAAAATTTCCAGTTCTGCATCATTAAAATTTAACAAGGATTGGATGGACCTCACTCTTGTTGTTAGTCACCTATCAGGTATCACTAGCCAGGGCATTTGTGCCTAGAATATTCATCTAATGAGTTTTCCCAAATTGAAGTAAATGTCGAAAAAAACTTGGATCGAGCCAGCAAATGTTTTAGCATTGGATATATGGTTCACACTTCTTTACTTTGCCTCCAACTGCTAGAAAGAAATCAGCAAACAAGGATCGTGAAAGGGAAAAATTACAGCAGAAAATACAAAGAATCTCACAGTACTGCAAAAAAGATTAAGGTGGCAAGCTAAACATTTTCCTTAATGTACACAATCAACAGTATCGTGAAGTCTTCAGAGTCACAAATAAAATGAAGAGTATCCCTTCAAGAAAAGAATGCACAGAAGAGGGTGTGGGAGGAATTAATGAGAGAGAAAATGTAATCAAATGCAGCACTACCTTCCATATCCAACCACCTAACCAGCGGCTTTGAAATCTGTCTGGAACTATATTTGATGGTTGTGTTTCTCTTTCTGGATGGCACAAAGGATGTGAAAATAAATAGAATACATCACAACTTTTTAAACAGAAAAGGAAGAAAAGACATGGAAGCAGAAAGCAGAATTTCACCAGCATTTTCAGAACTCCTAGCCCGAAGAGGAGAGTTTGCAATTGCTTGGAATAAAGCTTTGTCCCCCATGGAAAAATCAGGTTTCTGCAGGTAAAGCTAGATCATTTATCACAAAGTTTTCCTTCAGAATCTAAAACAAAAAAATCTACCTAACAAACTGAAGCAATACAAGTTTCGAATTTTGCTTCCTTCTTTTTCCTATTTTTCTTCCTTGATTTTCCCTTAGAGGACTCCTTGTCCTCCCATGTACCTTTACACTTTCTCTTTACTTAATAACATTCTCTTGCACTTTATCCAGAAAAAAAGAGGGAACGAGGGGCATGGCAGGGGACCATGTATTTAAAGAGAAAACTAAACTAGCAGGCTCATCTATATTGAGTTAAGCTATTGAAAATGAATAGATGCAATAAATATCAAATTAAACCAGTTCATAACTCCTTTTACCTCTATTGAAGCTGAAATTTGTGGATTTTCCTGGACCGGACAATGCAACATGGGATCCAAGTGACATGACACACTGGTGGCATTTAAACCAAGCGGTGGATCATCAATAAGCTTCTTTTGCCCGTCACTTTGGAATGCCTCTAACGCCAACTCCTTTTTCAGTTGTATATCAATATCCAAAACATCTTCTAGCAGTTCTTTTCTATGAATATGACCATAATCAAATTCAGGAACCCCAACCTCTTCATGTATCGATTTGTTTTCACTTGTATAAATTTCCGAGGCAAAAGTATCTTTAACTTGAGATACAATTGAGTCATGACCATGCAAACCATCACGACCAGTAGCAGATAACCCTACATCTTCATATGCATCTGCCATAGTCAATTCATCCAAGTCCGATAGAAAATCAATCTCACTAAGTTCCTCAGTTAAGTAATAAGAGGTTTCTTCCAAACCCTCCAACCGTGCTTGTTTCAGCTTAAGAGCAACTTCAAGTACAGCCGAAGCTGGCAAAAATTGTGTAAATGTTCCAAAGGTTATTAATTCATAAATAACCAGTGCTTCAGATGCTGCAATAGAGAGTTCAACTGCATTGCTGATATCCGCAACTTTGGAAGGAGAGTTTACATTTTCATTGTGCTTTTCTAATTTATCTTTGTAATCAGTAAGAGATTGAGAACAAGAATTTTTGGGTTTCTCATGCTGGGGAGTTGAAAAAGGAAAATTTACCACACCAGCATTATGGTGCACTTCAAATTTATTCTTCTCATCTGGAATATTTGAAGCCTCAGTTGGCTGCATTGGATGATATAATTTACATATCTCTGCCTGAGAGGTATCCAATAGAGGACTTGGCGCGTTCTCATATTCTGAATTACCATCCAAAGACAGATGCAGATGAAAATGAACCATCTGTCAACAAAATGTGATATACATGTAGTTTATGCTCTGATAGACAATATAAACACTACCTATTACCCATGCACAATGCACAACAGAAACAATAACACATGGAAAGAATAGGGGAAAAATCTCAGAAAATAGCTACCAATTAATTGCACATTAAAATGGAATTGAGGTGAAAGATTCTCCTTCCTTTTCTTTTGTCTGTATCGTGGGGTAGTGCTAAGAAGCATAGAAACTATCAGGACTTGTGTGAGCTCAACATAGTCTAACTCATGCTTTAGAAGCATGCACATGAGTTGGTGTATAGTTTCTTGTTGCCCCTAAAATAATACCTGATTGGATAATGCGTCTTTGGGCATTATCTTGAGATCTATTTTACTTTTAAATTTATTAGTTGATTGATGGTAGGAATCATAGAGTTCATATTAGGACTCTCAGACTAGTTATTTTTGGTTTTCATTATAAAGGGGATGGAGGCACGGATTGTAGCCAATTTGGATTATTGAATAAAATTGCATTCTCGTGCCTTCCCAATTTTTTTCTTCTCTTCTCATCTCCGTTTGTTCTCCCAATCTACATCAATACCTCTTGCATAGGACAATGATGATTAAAAAAAATTGTGAAATAATCCCAGGGGTAACAAGCCAGACAGACTAGAACCACCTTCAATTGTATGTCCTAAGTTTCAGTCATCCTCTAGGAACATCCCCCAAGTATCAACCCAAGAATTGACAGACTTGTGTAGAACAAGGGGATTGCATGTGTTCAAAATGATCAGCCTTGTGTTCTACGTGGCTCAGATGAAAATAGAGAGATTAGTAGAGGGGTTCATATTCCATGGCATTATTAGCGAATACCAAAATTGAGGATATGGAGTCATCTGACAAGTTGACAATATGAGATGGAAATACTATGAATCTAGACCAAGGAAACAAAAAGCCAAACTGGTGATTGATGATGAGCTGTAGCAGGAGAATAAATTTCTCACAATCCAATAATTGATTACCATTGTCTTAACAAAGATTAGGTAAGCTAGAATCCCACAAATCCTCGCTTCCAGTTACTTTTAATCTCAAATCTATTTTGCCTATCATTAGTACATTTGGTCTGCTAAAAAATCATTAATGCAATGCTTCTTGTCTTGCATTTCTATCAGTTTTTCTTAGATATTAAATATCAAAAAAGACAAATTTTGGGGTTCATGGCTAGTCCAAAAGATATTTATTCCACAGCCGAGGACCTAATCACAGGCCTCTAACCCATTAGACAATGGTCAAGAAGGATTATATCTGAGTGACAAGCCACGAAGACAATGGATTACACCAAATTCCAGAGGCTGAACTTTAGAGACTTGTCCTACATCAGATTCATCCTAACTCCCAAATCGGGTCAGATAACAGAACACTAACAGGGGGAATTTACCTTCTAAAAAGGGATATAAATTAAAAATATACAGAGGTGTTATCAAATTTATAACTAGAATAATGGTGAATATATGTGTATCTATGTAAATACATATATGTAGTAAAGCAGAATCTCTAGCTCTACACAATAACCCATGTTGCACCCAGCATTTTTGCTAGGCAATGTTCTCTCAAAATCAAAAAAAGAAGAAACTCTCTGGTCGTGATTATGGCAAAAAATCATTGAATTCCTCAAATGAATGATAATTTTTAACTATACGGAAATTCAAGGCATCTCCCACCTTGTACATTTATCCTTCTATCTTCCAAAAGGTTTTTCTATTTTACCATCAAAGTCACCATAATTATCTACTTTCTAACCCCTGATATTGTTTCAAATATTTTTTCCATCCTGCATATCTCACTCCACAAAATTCCACCCCCGATTGATTCTTTTGACTCTTGCATAGAGACTGATGGAAACGGCATTGGATGAATTCATCTAGGTTATTCTTTGTGTTTCTTTTCCTTACTTATTCTTTTTTTCTTAGGAGGGGGGTCCCTACCCATCAAAGTCTCCACAAAAACAAAATAATTATTGTTCTTAAATTTTTAAATCAATAACAAAGAATAGTGTTAGAGTATATGTGTCTCATATATTGTTGTGTGCACAATGGTAAGGAGGTAGATGCCAGAGTGGAATTGATATATTTTATGTATGGGGGGATGCTGATTAGTTGGGGGTGCGGGGGCAATGCCCCCGCGGCACGGTACAGGGGTATTTTGTAAATACGTCCGTACTAGAGTTATATAAATACTTAAAATGTAACCCTACTTTGAATAATGAAAAAAAACGGCCGCTCGCTCATGTGGATGTAGGCACATTGCCGAACCACGTAAATCTCTGTGTTATTTTCTCTTGCTTTTTTAATTGTTTGATTCCTTATTATTCACCATAATTGTTGCACGATCACAACAAATAGTATAGGCAATTACATCTACTTGGTTAAAATGTTATGTCAATCATATAGACAATAAAGCAGGGGATAGGTCTAAGAAAAGAAAAAAATTCTTTGATTTGTCACTATCCTCTTTTGGGCTTCAGTGAGAGCATGAACTCCCTATTTCTCTCTAGAACGTCTATCAAATACACATCTTTTAGACATTTTCTATTCACAAGCAACAAAAGTGGTATATTTTGAGTTATAATATGTTCCATACCATCATTTTTGATCCTGTAAATCATCTAGTAGAACATCAAAACCTTTTAAGGAGATAATTATTGAATTGAATGCAGTAGCCATCGAAAAAAAAATCTTGCACTTACAGGGACTCCATATACTTTATAATATGTAGTTAACAGCTGTAAAATCAAGTGATGGTTGTCCAAGATTTAATTATACTTCAGTATCCATTTTCATCTACCACTTCCAATGTCCAATTTGTGCATTCAGATGTTGAAATGATTTGGGAATTCCACAGAGGAAGTATATGTGGAAAAACTTGAAAAGCAATCCAATGTAAGGGATAAATTTGACTTCTGCTTGTTTCAACAAAAAATAAAAACATTTGGCTTTTGCTTGTTTCAACCCATAAAAACGAAAATAAGAAATACCAAATATGATTCTTGATCCTTAATGAAATGCCACAAGATTTGCATTTCCATGAAATTCAATAACATAATTGTCAACCTCATTGACCACAGTTCGCATAAAATAATTTATTGAAGAGCCACCGATGCAGGATAGTTCTAACAATATATATTGATATGAGATGATAATTCTGCTCTCAGGAACTTTGTTGAGAACTTACATTTCCAGAAGATTGAGCAAAACTGACTGGTGAATTGTCTTCCCCAGATAAGAACAAAGGGAAACTCTTGCGTCCAGCTTCGTCCCTTGATGACAAATTCGCCTCATCCTCTGTGCTGATGTTTTGTTGAAGATTTGACAACTCCTGTCCTTGTAATGAGAAAATTCCATCAGGAGACCTTTTGTTCAATCAAATGATATATTTATATACCTACAATACAACTTCAGACACTAAATAAATTAGGGTGAAACCAATTCAACTTGTTAAATCACTAACAGAGCCATGGCAACAGTTCATTGTATTAGTAAGTCAAAGCCAAGTTTTGATTCATGAACATGATTTGTCGAGCAAGCAAAAGTTCATTGACATGAAAGTTGATGAGGTCATTCAAGAAGTACAAAACTTCCTGCTTTCCCTATTCCCTTTCAATTAGCTTTTGAAAAAACAACTGGTTCGTACAATTGTTTTCATTTTATCTATTAACGTTATACATATGCACCTGAAGCCTATTTGATGCTCAAGTAAAAAGCTGGGGATAACCATTGGCTCTTACAGTTCAAGAACTTTTCAAATTTGCAAGCTTCCACTAAGAGATGAGGCATTTTTAAAAGGGATAAAGCTGCAAGAACCTAAAGAGGAAGCCCCACCAAAAGAAGAAGAGGACATAAGACTCGAGCTTTTGGAAATGTTTCAAGAGGGAGTTCCTAACCAAATCACAGTCAGCGAGCTATGCTGAATTCATGAAGCTCCAAACCGATATTGCTTTAAAAATGATAAGATTGTGAATATTCATGGCAAGATACATCTCATCTCCTTACGGTATAACATTCTACATGGTTCTTACTATACAGTTAGATGGCTTCCAACAGTATTATTACACTGGGTCCAATAACCTTTTAACATTACCAGGAGAACTTTAGATCTTATAAAAGTACTGTAGAATATCAAACTGATTGTTGATACAAACATTCAATCTATTTTACCACTATAATCTTCCTCTTGACTTACATATATGTCATATTACAACTACATTGATCTGTACTGCATTGAATCTTTCTTTAGGTTTAATTGCCCCAAGAAGTTCTTGTGGATGTTTAATTGCTCCAAGATGGCCTTATGGGTTATTTAAATTACGAACCTCCACAAAAATTCTTTGAGCCACGTGAAGGTATTCTTTAAATTATAAACCTCTACAAAAGGGTATTCTGGTTTTTCTCTTTTTGACCTAATGACAAGATAGCGCAGAGCATCAACCCTTCCAAGTAAAAGGGACTTCATTCTGACTAGAAAAACATTGAAATGTATGGACCCAAGGGCGCACAACTACTTTCTTTAGCAGCATAGATCCAAAATAACAAATCATTAGTGGAATAACAGTAGAGAAAACCACCAACCTGTATACATTGTTCCATGGGAGTGTGTCCTTCACCATTGTGCTGATTCAATGGTTGATCATGATTGGGCTGAAGCCAGGCAGGAAGCCAAGCTAAATCCTGTAATTAAAAAATCTGAGAATATTCACCAATACTTCGCAATTATTTACCCCAATAAACATTCACCAAAGAAAAGCTTGGAAATTTTATAGAAATCAAATTGCTCCATTCAAGATAGTTTCAATCCTATTCTTAATTTTCAGTGGACGCCCAAAATTTGCCCCATTCAATGCGTTTATGGAACTGCAATATCTACAACAGGGTATATCGATTAGTGATGGAACAAGAAGCATAAAGAAATGTACCTCTGAGAACTGAGGAGGACGAAAACCTATTAAGCTTCCCATTGAAGAATGAGCCTTCCAGACATAAGCAGAAGCATCAGCTCCACTCTGGGTGGGTAACCCTGAGAGAGAAAGAGAGAGAGGGGGGGGGAGGGAACCTTCGCGCCAAAACGACTTTGGGTTTGGTTTTATACTGCGGGATTCTCAGGGGTTTGGTTTTTTTCGCATTTACCTTCAATACATTTTGGAAAATTACAAAATCGGGCCCTTAAATTTGCCTCTAGTTTCAATTGAGCCCCTAATATTTCTTCTTTCCAATTTTATCTTTAACTTCTTAAAATTTGGTATAATGTAGCTCCTACATGACAATTGTTGACCCAAACAACATACATGTGCCTCTCATGTATGATTTGTATAAGGGCATTTACAATTAGAATTATCATCGATTGTGTTGTGCTATACTTGGGTTATGTTATTTCGAATTTTTATAGAATATTAGTTAATATTAACCAAGTTTTTTCAGACGTTTTTACTAATCATATTATGTTCTACATGCATAAATCAGCACCCCCACCAAAGCAATTGTTGGAAAAGGAAGTAAAGACAATGAATAGGATGATACATAGTGCTTAATGCATTTTCCAAAGTAAATATGTAATTTTTTTTTAAATTATTATAAATACACCAAGAAAATTCTCAATTAAAGACTTCATTCCCTCTTGACCAAAAGAATAACTCATTGACTTTTTACAAAATTAAAATTCCATTTGATATAGATGCCTTCAAAACCAAGTAAAAACATTCTCAACTCTAACACAGGAATATAATATGGATAATTATAATTTATCTCTTCCTACTATATTTCTTGTTGCAATTAGTTCCTCGTACTTTAAAATTCTAGGGGTAATTATGTTTTTTTTAACAAATTAAAGATCACATAATTTTTTCATGTCTAACTTACATCACTTTTTTGTAATCTAAAATTATTTGTTGGAGTTAATTATAAAAGATTCAAACTCAAGGGAGGCTAGCTATTTGTTGAAATTGAAACCTGAAGGGGTGAATGACAAGAGGTATTTTGTAATTAACCCATATATTTATTACATCAAGTGAAAATAGAAAACATCATAAGGTTTCTTCAAAATTATTTTTTTCCTTCATTATACAATAAAAGCTAAACATATTTTCAATGTCAAAAATAAATTATTTGTGTTTGACATTGACTTATTTATTATTTTCGTAAACGAGTAATTTCATTCTTTATTTATTTTAAAAATTAATCAATTCTAACTCAATAATTGTCTATCAAATTCATATTTTATCAAAAATTAGAGGTAACTTGTGCCTGAAGGCACGGTGTAACATAAATCAACCAATTAATTTAAAAAAGTGAGGAATGAATATCCCTAAGAACAGTGACAAAGCAAAAAATTTGATTTATGGTAGACACATTTTTTAAGTATAATAGATAAAAATAGTGTGATATATTTATATTAGATTAGATACTTAAAAATTCATTAAATATAAAAAAAGTCTATTTGAAAAAAATTAATAAGATAGCATTTATACATTAAGAATCAATAATATAATTTATTTGATACAAATAAAAGCAATATTCTTTAATTTTTAATTTTTTTATAAATTCTATATTTACTCATTTTTTTCTATATATTTTATAATTTTTGAATCAAATGAGACTTCAACAAATCATACTAATACTCTACGGAATGGACTTTTAAGAGATTTGGTATGAACTTTTTGTTTTTGTTTTTTTGTTCTTGTACCCAACTTGTTTGATCCAATTAATTTTATTTTTTGTAAATCATTATAGTAGGCCTAACTAATCTAAAAAAATATATGAAACATATATAATTAAAAAAATATTTTTTTTCAGGGTGTCCCCAGGCCCCTCCTCCCTCCGCCACTGCCAGAGAAAGAGAATGAAGAGTGAGAAGATGAAGGTAAAATTCAATATGAATGATAGTGAGAGAGATATTAGTGGTCGTTTGATGAGTTTATTTTAGATCGTCGGATGGGCTTGTTGAACCCGCACTATTTTATATTATAAAATCCACAAAATATAATAGAATTGACTTAAAAAATATTATTTATATACATATAATCAAAATCGAGTCAAATTTAATACAAACTAAAAATCTAATTTATCAAAAAATATATCGAAAAAATATTTTCTATCAAAAAAAAGATCTACACATATCATTTATAAAATATTAATTTTTTTAATTAGTACAAGTTATTACAAAATTATTAATTTATAAGAATATATTAGCGTTGAATTTTCTTAAGAGATAAAAAAAATAGTCTTGAACTTTTGATTCAAGACATGTGTAAGGCATGTTAGTTTGAGATAGTTAATTAATTAAATAAAATTAAAATTAATTATATTCAATATAAATGTGTTAAGCGGTGCCCTTATTTTTTTTTAATCTGTTAAATTGATGCGTTTTTTTTAATCAAAATATTATCATTGTCTCTTACACAAATTTAAAATGTTACACTACACTGTTGATATTAATGAAAAATTTGAACCATTTAATTATTATGTTAGAGAAAATCTTGTAATCCAAGTCAGCCGTAATCTTTGACTATTTGAGAGGAAAAATATTAAGGAAAAAATATTAATTTCTTGACCGTTCGATGAATAAATTTGAGACCATAAGATATATTTCAAGATCAATCATAATCGTTGACCGGTTGGGAGGGGAAATATTAAGAAAAAAATAGCAATTTCTTGACCGTTGGATGAATGAATTTAAGACCGTATAATATACTTGTAGAAACCGTCTTATATTATAGATTATAAATATAGATTTGACACAAATAAAAATAATATTCTAAATTTTTTTTAATTACAAATTTCATATTTTACTCATTTGACTATTTATTCCATATTTTTGAACCAAATGAGGCTTCAACAAATCATACCAATACTCTAAATAATTAATTTTAGTTTGCTAATTTTAAAAGATTGGTATGAACCTTTTGTTTTTGTTTTTTTTTGTTCTAGTACTTAATTTATTTGATCTAATTAATTTTTTTTTTCATAAATCATTGCAGTGGGCCCAAATAATCCAAAAAATATATATTTTTTCAGGGTGGCGTTGTAGACCCCTCCTCCTCTGCCACTGCTAGAGAGAAAAAGTGAAAAGTGAGAAGATGAGAGTAAAATTCAATATGAATGATTTTGAAAGAGATATTGATGGCCGTTAGATGAATGAATTTTAGACCGTAAAATAGGTCTGTTGAAACTGTCTTATTGTATATTATCGATATTATAGATAAATCTACGAAATATGATAAAATTGACTTAAAAAAATGTTAATTTATATATATGTAATCAATCGAGTTAAATTTAATACAAACTAAAAATTTAATTTATCAAAAAACATATTGCCAAAATATTTTCTATCAAAAAAAACTCTACAAATATCATTTATAAAACATTAATTTTTTAATTAGTACAGGTTATTACAAAATTATTAATTTAAAAGAATATAATAGCGTTGAGTTTCCTTAAGATATAAAAAAAAATAGTCTTAAATTTTTAATTCAACATTACCCCTTAAGATCCTCTCCATTACCCCTTCCCTTCAATTTCACTCAATACACAACTAGATGAATGACACGTGTCTAAATTTAATTCAACAGTCTAGATTTCTACAAAGTAACTACACTGATTAAACCATAGTATTGTACAAGTAGGGACATTCATTGAGATAACTAACTATACACGATAAATTGCACTGTTTTTTTAAAAGAAAGAGAGAAATTTAATACATTTAAACCAAACAATTACAACCAAGGCACCAGAAACAGATCAATATTGAGTGAAATTGAAGCCTACGTTTAAGCCATAATTGAGGGAATTCGAGCATCAATTTTTAGCGCTAAAAATTCTTTCAATTTTCAACCAATTTATCTTGAATTTTATTTTGTTTCAGTTCTACTCTCACTACTTAAGAGACAAGGTGTGTGTTTCTCATATATAATCTCTCTTATTTACACAAAACAATTTGTTGGTTGATCAATTATGTATTCTTCCTTCTTCCCATTCTTTAGGTTCATTATCTTATTTCTCTTTTTTTAATTTCTCTGGATGTGATACACAATTATACATTGCATATCTCTCATGCCCATGAACTGTTTATTTAATTAACTAAATGATGGTTCTTTTTTTATCTCTACTTTGGGTGTTGACATTTGTTTCATATAACTAATAATAACGGATGTATGGAAGCTATGGTCAATGAATGTGAAGACAACTTTGTTGATGTGCCACATTCTAAGCCTAATGTGCCAATGAAACTTG